TCTCTAATCCTCCTAGTCCTTCGTGTAGCTTACCAGCCCCCATTAGGGCCAATAATATTTATTATCCAGTGATGTTTTGCAAGTGGGTAAAAGTTTAAATTTTTTGGACGTAAGTTAATTTATTTTATTTTTTTATGAATAATAAATATGAGATGATAATATGATTAAAATAATTAAAAAATTAAAAGTTAATTATTTTTATTTGCTTGGCAAAAGGATCCCTAGTTTATTTAAAGTTAAACTTTTTATTCTGGCAACCTATTTTAATATATATATAATATATATATATTAAGTTACAATTCTATTTAATAAATTACTAACCAAGGAACAATATAGTGGTTATTATTAATAAATGGTAATGTTTGATGTGTGGATGTGTTTTTTTTATTATTATTTATATTTTGCGTGGTGTTTTGTGTTTTGTTATCAAATGTTTGAAAAATACTTTTATAATATTATTTAATATTATAATTTGTATAAATTTTTTTTGAAAATAATGGAAAGGTTTCTAGAATTAATGAAAAATGTCTTCAAGTTTATAAAATTTGCCTTGTATTCTTTCATTTCGTTTATCATTTTATTGTGCGTCATAAATACTTGTTAACAAAATTATGAATTAATTACACCTGTCACCTTGGTTGTTTGATTAAAATTTCGTTTTACTTCTTATAATTTTAATTTAAATAATTTGATCAGTACATTTTAAGTTTAACTTTAATTTAATCATTCTGTCTAAATTTTTGTCTATCTTCAATTTGATCTTTTTGTCTAATTTTTTTGTTAATTTTGTCTACGTGTTCATATTAGAAAATTAACAAGTGTTCTAAAATTATTAATTTTAACTTTCAATTTGAATGGAAGAATCATATTGAAACCTTAAAAAATTGACAAATATCCTAAACTTTGTTAATTTTAGAATAAATTATCAATAGGTCCTACTTTTGAAACTTGTTACCTATTATTAAGTCGTTGATAAATTTATCATGTGACAAATTTATCAATCTCTCTTGATTTTATAAATAAATTTACAGAGACAAATTTATCAGTTAGGACCTATAGTAAATAAGTTTAATTAATAAGACTGATTGGTAAGTGTCCCTTAATTTTAACCTTTAATTTAGACGAAATGACCAAATGAAAACTAGACTTAAAATGTAAGAGCCAAGTTATTCAAACTAAAACTATAAAGACTAAACTGAAATTTAAGTCAAACTATAAGGATGAACAGTGTAATTAACCCCAAATTATTATTTGGTAGTATTGGCTAAGCATCGAAAATGGGTCTTGTTCGGGCTCGTAGACCCCACCATGAGTTCCATTTTGATGTTAAATTATTCATTTCGTATAATCCTTCATACATATCATTCATAAAATAATAATAATAATAATAAATTTAAAAAGAGATTTTTATTGATAAATCTATTCTAGAGTTGTTATAACCCATTAGGTCCACTAAAGTATATTATAACCTAATTAGTCCCATAAACTTTTCTGGATATTCCATAAGGTCCATTTTTCTAATTTAATATAATTTCTTGGACTATTTTGCCCCTGTATATATATATGTATAGTGTTAATACGTAATAGGTGCCTGTTTCTTCGTTCATGCAGTTTGGCAGTTTCTATTTTACACTTTTCATCATCAATCCAATTCCGAGAGTTACGTTTATGTTTTGCATGCTCGTTGCAAGGATTGGTTGTGCCAGGGTTTCATCCTTGCTGTTGGAGTCTGGTTCTGTGGTTTGCGAGTGAAGACGACGAAGAGGAGGGTGTTCGGTTGTTACATTTGCCGGATTATAACTAGTTCAAATCAATTTTTTTCAAGTTTCTGTACGATTGTAGGATTGCATGATCAAGGTTAGTATCAATTTGGCTATGAATACATGTTCAGTTTATGGTTTCATTCGTATAATGGATCAGATGCTCTGTTTTTGGATTTATATGGATTGAATGCTCTGTTTTTTCAATTATATGCATTTTACGTGGTTATGTGGAGGGGAGTTCATTCGTATTATGTGAAGATTGTGTAGTTCTCATTTGACTTCGATGCATGCGTAATGAGGCTCTGTGTGGATGATTTGATTATCAGTATATATATCAATGTGAATCTGCACATTTTGTGAATGTGGAATATGTGAAGAATGTGGATGTTCTCATTTTAAATTGATGTTTGCTTAATGAGGCTCTGTGAAGATTGTTAATAATTATGTGAAGATTGTTAATGTTCTCATTTTACTTTGATGCTTGCTTAATGTTAACATCTTGTTAATATCAATGTGAATGTTTACATCATCATAAACTTCTTGTTAATATCAATGTGAATGTTTACATCATCATAAACTGATGTGAATGTTCACATCATTATATTATGTGAAGATTGTTGATGTTGTCATTGGAGTTTGATGTTTGCTTAATGTTGACATCTTGTTAATAGTAATGTGAATGTTCACATCTTCATATTGTGAATTATGGATTTAGCAGTTGAAATGTACACGTAGTCATCTATTTTTTTGCACAATGTGAATTTTCATATCGATTTTCATTAATGTTCATTGTTATGTTTTTGTGTTTTTACAGGAGATGGATACCTTTATGCTATTGGTGTGTACATATGGTTGTAGTACAACTGTAATAAATGTTGCCCGCGCAATGTGTTATTCTCGTTTGGTGGAGTGTTTGTGTGAGAAATGGGATGAGTTGTCTGCGGGTTCTATTTCATTGTTCTTTAAACTACCTGGGATTAATAAGTGTCATATGGACAATGAGGAAGAATTTCAGAACATGGTACTGCTTGCTAAATCAATGGGGGTACAACATGTAGAAGTTGTGGTTGAGTTGAAGGGTGATATTGGTCAGTCAAGTAGTTTGGGATTGCTGCGTGTGGGGGTTGAGGATGAAATTGATGCACTACGGAGATTTTGCCACCATAAGGAGAAGGTGTTGTTGTCAGCCCCTTGGGCAAATGGTATTACGCATGTAGGACAACGGTTTGTTGGAGGTGCACAAGAATTTCGTGACGTTTTATGTAAGTATGCCATCCAATGTGGGTTTAAGTTCACATACGTGAAGAACGAGACAACAAGAGTTACGGCTGTGTGTGCGATGCGGGAGGAGAGGGGGTGCTTGTGGGCTATACATTGTAGAGCACAACGAGCAAATGATTTTTTCTACATCAAGAGGTTTAGTGATGTGCATACTTATGGTACGGATGTTCGAACATCGAAGAATCCGCGAGTTAGTTCGGATTTGGTGTCGAGTACCATATCTGAAATTGTGAGGGACAAGCCGTTGACTCGGCCGTGTGAAGTGGTGACTATTTTGAAGAGGGATTATGGGCTAGATGTGAGTTACCATGTCGTATGGTTGGGTGTGGAGAAAGCAAAGGCTGGTATCTATGGAGATCACTCGTTATCGTTTGACCAGTTGCGGTGGTATTCGGATGCTGTGATGCGGTACAATCCGGGGAGTTATGTCAATATTGACTATGATGCGAGTAGTCAACAGTTTTGTCGCTTCTTTGTGTCATTCGCTGCGTGTATTTCTGGGTTCAATGCTTGTCGGCCTTTATTATTCCTGGATGGCACATTCCTTAAAGGAAAGTACAAAGGTCAGCTACTGGCGGCAACGGCAAAAGACGGAAACAATGGTTAGTAATTTTTTTACCTCTATATTCATGTCAATATTCACATTGACATGCATAGTATGGACAAATGAGTGATGGAGAAATTATAAACATTGACATTAGTATGCACTGATGTGAATGTTCACACCTTTGTATGCTAATGACAGAAATGTTAACATCAGACTGATGTGAATGTTCACATCAGACTTATTACAAACTTATGTGAATGTTGACATCAGTGTATACTAATGTTAGTTGATCTATTAATGAACAGTACTGTGAATGTTAACATTTTCAGTGACTCAACAAGCAACAATGAATTATTAATGGTCGTTAATGTGAATGTTCACATCGTTGATGTTTACGAACCTGAATCCGAAAATAGAAATTGTAAAGAGGGCAATGTACATATGAACATTCACATGACCTGTTTTGTTTATTCTATTTTTCTATTCACTTTGGAATATTGTGAACAGTTGTGTATTGGTGTTGTGTTGTAGGTCTGTTTCCTGTTGCATTTGCAATTGTTGATTCGGAGACCACGGCTAATTGGTCGTGGTTCTTGCATGAACTTGGGAAGGTTGTTGATGGGAAGCGCCATATTACTTTTATTTCGGATCGTAATCTTGGTCAGTTAGAAACTATGCCAAAGGTGTTTCCATCGGCTCATCACGGTTATTGCTTACAACACTTGAAGAGCAATTTAAGAGACCGGATGAAAGGAATTGATAATGGATTTAGGGATCACCTAGTAAGTAGTTTGGGTGATTGTGCTTATGAGCCAACTGTGGTAGGGTTCCATGAAAAGCTTGCAAAATTAAAAGAGGAGGGTAAACAACGAGCACATAATTTTTTCAAGGACTTGGCACCTGAGCACTGGGCAAATTCATACTTCAGGTAATAATAGTTTCCTAAGGTGTTCCATTTTTGAAGTTTAGAATGGTAGTGATGTGAATTTTCAGTTTATAATGGTGACAATCTTCGAATTGTGTTTCATCTTCAATGTAAATGATGTGACTGTTCACATCTGCTAATGATGACTGATGTCATGTTCACATCTGTTAATTTGTCAAATAGTCATGCAATGTATTACAGATTTGAATGTTGACACGTGTCATATTTTGTTGTTGTTGTTAACATTCACATCTGTCTATCATTTAAGTTGACAACGTAATAACCATGTAATGTGAACATTCACATTATTAAAACCTGGTAGCAGATGTGAACATTCACATTATTATACCCTGATGTGAATGTTCACATTAGTGTATACTAATGGCAGTACTGTGAACGTTCACATCTGTCAACATTAATGGTCAGGCCTGTTAAATTCCGTATTGTACAATGTTTGTGATATACTGTGCAGGGGCATGCGTTATGGGGAGATGACATCCAATGCGGCGGAGTCATTTAATAACTGGATTAAAGAAGCACGTAATCTTCCTATCACTCAAATGGTGGACAAAATTCGTACTCAGTTGATGCGGCAAATGTCTGCACGGCGTGACCAAGCAAACAAATGGAATGAGATTATTTGTCCGACATTCGAAACAAGGCTTATGGATTCGTTCAATGACAGCAAGTGTTGGCAAGTTAGCAAAGCCAACGAGGATGTGTTTGAAGTTCATTCGATACCATCGGTTACAGTTGATGTTGTGAGGCGTACATGTTCATGCTTCAAATGGCAAATCAACGGATTCCCGTGTGACCATGCTGTTATTGCCATTCAGAAGAGCCGCTACAATCTCAATGATTGTGTAGAACATTACTTTCATGTAGAGACATATCGTGCAGCCTATTCGGGAGCCATATTCCCTATACCATCGGTGGAGAAACCGCCTTTTGATCCCACGGACTTTACTATATACCCGCCTACCGTGAAAAGACCACCCGGAAGGCCGAAGAAGAATAGGATCCCATCAAGGGGTGAGAAACTGAAGCAAATAAGGTGCGGGAGATGTGATAAGTTGGGGAGCCATAATCGAAAATCATGCACGGAGCCGATATAAGATGTACCTTTTTTCATTTCAACATTGTATTTTACATTGGATTCTTATATTCATTTTTGAAATAAGATTGTGTTGTGTTGGGAAACATTGGGTTGGAATAAGATTACGTTGCGTTGGCAAACATAATAATGCATTAGTGTTTTATTTGTGTTTTATTTTTACTTTTTTAAGGTACCAATCTGACATTTATGTTGGTTGTGTTTTGGATGAATGCATGCTGTTAACATTCACATTATGTGAATGTTCACATTGTTCAACTTTCAAACATTTCTGTGGTGGGAATGTTCACATTGTTGTTACTGTTAACAGCAATGTTTACATCAATGTAACCATTCGCATCATCAACTCATAAGATGTGAATATTCATGACATCATTGTTGCCATTCGCATAATCGGAAGTTATGATGTGAATATTCACATCATCAAATTGTTAGATGTGAATATTGACTTGTGTTAAGAAATATCATAATCACACCTGTCATATTGTGTTACATGAACACTTTAAGCAATATTCACATCCATGTAGTATGGTTTAAAATAGAAAAAAGTGTACGATCATTCTGTGATGTGAACAATGACATCATGTCATGTGTATCCACAAAAAAAAAAAAAAAAATACAATCTCAATGTGCATGACCAACGCAAAATAGGCCTGAAAATGCATATACATATATTGACTGAAAAGTATCTGTACAAGCAGTGATATAGACTTCATTTACAATTAAGCTAGTGAAACTAAATTGTCTTAAATGTGGATAACAGATTTGGGTAACAGTGATAGGTGGACACCCCCTACCTATAGGTTTTCACATTGCACTGTCTTTCTGTGGTTCAGAAAAAGGTGTACTAATGAGTCTCTTATTTGACACCATTCAAAGCGATCTAGGCTGGCAACAATGTCTTCACGATATACATGCGCCCTCATGATGTAACAAACTGCAGGCCCACAATCCACCCTGAAAATGCAAACTTCTTGTTAGATTTTGAAATTTAGGTGGGTAAAGGTTATGGAACATGTGTAGAAATCGATTTTAGGCTTACGAATTTGATGCTTGCTGAGGACAGATGTCCACTGATATGATTGTTTTGGAAGTATTTTGGCTTGATAAATTGGTCCATAATGGTGATGACGGTCCAATGTTGTGCACCAAAGCTGTGATGTAGTCCCTCTGCCAACAATGAAATTTCATATTAGGCACGAACCAACATAGGGCATACGTCCAAGTTCAAATATTACACATCACGACAAGTATTATTTTTGTCAGCCACTTACCAGTATTTGTGCTTTGTCAATATGTGGGTCATGTATGCCTTCTCTTGGGCGCAGTGAGTTATAATGCCTCCATACATTCTCTTTCACGTCGTACACAACAATTGTCCAGTGAAAGTTGTCGTGTATTGGGAAGATTAAGAATCTCTGGCCTTGATACTCCTTGATGTGTACATCAATTAGTTTATTCCTCTTATGGGGGGGTACTGTTCAATGATTTTTTGCACACAAAGGGCATACAATGATGTACCAAGTATTTATATCGATGTTTGGTGTTAATGATTTGAATGTTCATCTGCTAATGGGGAGTTATGTTACTGATGTGAATGTTCACATTTCCTAATGGTGAGTGATATTACTGGTGTGAATGTTCCCATTTGCTAATGGTGGGTGATGTTACTGATGTGAATGTTCACATCTGTTAATGTGAGTAATGCTACTGATGTGAATGTTCACATCTGTTAATGTCAGTGCTATTACTGATGTGAATGTTCCCATTTGCTAATGGTGGGTGTGAAATGGTCTAATTTATTAAGTATGTATGTGAACTGAACATGATGGAAAAAAAAGCAGTTGGGGATATGTAAGATCACTTACTCATCACCGCCGTTCTTGTGCAAATTTTGGACTTTTTGCTTGTTGAGTTTGTTCATGTTAGCCCAGACCTTCAGTTTGTTGTTCAAGGTTAACTTCTTGGACTTTGTTGGCTGCTTTTTTGGTGGTTGCTTGTCTAAATCTTGTGCAATTTGGACTGCATGTGATTGCTGTTCGGCTCCTTCTTTCCCTTTCTTCTGACCAGGCAGGTTGGGGTATTCAAACTCGTCCAACCTGTGTTCTTTCCTTACCTTCTGCTTTATGCGCTTTACCCTTGATGGGGGGCTGATAATGTGTTCCAATGCTGCAGTGGGATTGTTGTTAAGGCTGTCATGAGCCTTTTGTGTTTCAACTTGAGTGATGATGTGTACGGACTGATCGTCAAAAAGGTCTTGAAGTATTGTTTTTTCACATTCCAAGTTGATGACCAACTTTGTCAGCCGCTGAATTTCTGTATCTTTCCACTACATGCAAGTCTTCATGTCCATGTCCACATTGGATGAGCCCGATTGGTCAAATAGTTTGGCTTCAAGGGCTGCAATCACCCTTGCCCTCAACTCCCATGATTCTTCCAACTGTTTGTATTTCGCTTCCCATTGCCGTACAAGAGCCCAAGCTTTTTGGTTTTCTTTCATGAGTACTTCCACAATGTCGGGCTCAGTTGGTTGTGCTATGATGATTCCTTTCTCAGCATTGGGGGTGCTACAGCTGGGGTTGATATAATGTCCAACATCATTCAGGTCCACTGCATCGACAGAAAATGCATCCCTGTCATCACTGCGTTGACTGTCTTTGCTTTGATCCTCATTGCTTTCATCTTTCTTTGCTACTACACTTGACAAAATCTCAGGTTTTGGCTCCACATTCAATTTTGTATGACGATACATCTTCGCTTTAGTTGGTGATGCCATTAGCTCGCCGCCATATACCTGCATTTCGAGACAGTATGTTAGTTAGATAGTTCCTCGTCTCCCTATGTGAATAAGCACAATATATTTGGTTGTACTTCTACCTCATTTAAACCTAGCTTAGCCAGAGTTATGGACTTCATGTTGCTATGTAAGGCTGTGAGGTCCCATTTTACGCATCGTGGAATGGCATTGGGGTTACGGGGTTGTAAGATTGTTATATGCTCACACAGCCAATACTGAAACAAATAACAAATATCAATAATTTGAATGTGGATATGAATTAACATTGATGTGAATGTTTACACCACTGGTGCAGTAATGTGAATGTTCACAGTGCACCACTAGGCCAGTAATGTGAATGTTTACATCACTTAAAACTGATGTGAATGTTCACATCCGTTGATGTGAATGTTCACATCTGCTAATGTGGAGTAATGTTACTGATGTGAATGTTCACATTTCCTAATGTTGAGTGATACTACTGATGTGAGTGTTCACAACTGTTAATGTGAGTGATATTACTGACCTGAATGTTCACAACTGTTAGTGTCAGTGCTATTACTGATGTGAATGTTCACATTTGCTAATGGTGGGGAATGATACTGATGTGAATGTTCACATCTGTTCATGTCAGTGTTATTACTATATGAATGCTCACATTTTGCTAATGGTGAGTGATGTTACTGATGTGAATATTCACATCTGGTAATGTGAGTGGTACAACTGATGTGAATGTTCACATCTGTTAATGTGAATCTTTACACCAGCATCTACTAATGTGTGTTTGTGCATTACTGAAACAATAATGCGAATGTTTTCATCAATGTTGTCAACTTCCACACCAAAGCTAAGAAATGTGAACATTCACATCAGAGTGTTCAGAGCCCGTATATGTTCATATTAAACATAGAATAAGTTGTATGAGATTTGATTTACCATTAACAACATCACACATCCGGTGACTCGTCCTGGTTTTCCACAGTTTTGGCCCAATGAACCCATCAAGGTTGCCCGGATGCTCTCAGCCCAATCATACTCGATCATCTTGTGTAATGGGTCCATGTATGAGTAGAAAACCCATCCAATTGTTTCTCCGGATGTAGAAAAGAATAGCTTGACGCATGCATACATGCAAACTAATCTTGCGACCTCCTCATCGTCATGTTTTTTTGTGCCCTTCAATGCTTCCCTCAGAATTTCTCGTATTTTGGCAGCACTTAACCGACTAACATCCTTGCACATTCGGTGTATGATGCCGGTTGTTGGTTTTGCACCATAAGAGAGGTCCATCGACTTGGTGCCGCAGTCCACCCCAAAAATCAGTGATACGTCGCTTCTAAAAATCTGGATGTTCTTATCCCCAATGTAAAACCTTCCACTAGATTGCCTGAATGTTTGTACTATACGCACAATGACATCATCATATTTCATGCAGTGGTTGAGGTCGATTTCGTTACTGATCAAGCTATCAAATAATGGCCAGAACGGTGTTTTTCTAAGGCACTTCAATTGGCCACTTGTAAATTTCGTATCCTTTAACAGTTTGACCAATCCAGTTATATTTGACCGGTAGTTCACTTTTTTCATGTTCACTTCTTCAGGAACAGCTGTTTGATCAGGCTTGGTTTTGAAACGGGATTCCCCTCGCTTTCGCTTGCCATCAATTTTATGGGGAAGACCTGTGTGTTCAAATGAGCACATGTAATTGGTTGAAACACAGAGGATGGAACCCGAATCACCAAACAACATTCAACAACCAGCATTGACAGTAATTGGAACTTTCACATCATTATACAGTGATGTGAATGTTCACATCAGTGTTTATTACTGTAAGTTTACACAGTAATCAATACTAATGTGAATGTTCACATCATCCATGTTGGAAAAATAAATTCAGAAAACGACAACAGTTACTGGGCAATGTAAATGTTTACATGGGTGATCACATTATGTTATAATTTGCTAAAAATCAAAAGGGGGAACCAACAACGCCAAACTACACCCAATAACACAAACAACTTGGGCATTGATGTCACAATGTGAATGTTTACATCATACGCCATCACAGTATTGAGTGAAGTTTGGGGGTTCTGACATTAATGTGAACATTCACATCATCAGTGTGTACTACTCTAAATTTACCCAGTAATCAATAGTAATGTGAATGTTCACATCATCCATGTTTGAGAAATAAATTTCGAACACGACAACAGTTACTGGGCAATGTGAATGCTTACATGGGTGATCACATTATGTTATAATGTTCTAAAAATCAAAGGGGGGAACCAACAGAGCCAAACTACACGCAATAACACAAACAACTTGAGCATTGATGTCACAATGTGAATGTTTACATCATACGCCATCACAGTATTGAGTGAAGTTTGGGGATTCTAACATTAATGTGAACATTCACATTCACATCAGTGTGTACTACTCTAAATTTACCCAGTAATCAATAGTAATGTGAATGTTCACATCATCCATGTTTGAGAAATAAATTTCGAACAAGACAACAGTTACTGGCCAATGTGAATGCTTACATGGGTGATCACATTATGTTATAATTTTCTAAAAATCAAAGAGGGGAACCAACAGCGCCAAACTACACCCAATAACACAAACAACTTGGGCATTGATGTCACAATGTCAATGTTTACATTATACTCCATCACAGTATTGAGTGAAGTTTGGGGGTTATGACATTAATGTGAACATTCACATGATGTGAATGTTTACATCAATGTGTACTACTCTAAATTTACCCAGTAATCAATAGTAATGTGAATGTTCACATCATCCATGTTTGAGAAATAAATTTCGAACACGACAACAGTTACTGGGCAATGTAAATGTTTACATGGGTGATCACATTATGTAATAATTTGCTAAAAATCATAGGGGGGAACCAACTGCACCAAACAACACCCAACAACACAAACAAGTCCAACATTGATGTCACACTGTGAATATTTACATCACATTCCATCACATTGTTGAGTGAAGTTTGGGGGTTCTGACATCAGTGTGTACTACTCTAAATTTACTACTACTGTAAGTTTAGCGAGTAATCAATACTAATGTGAATGTTCACATCATCCATGTTTGAGAAATAAATTTCGAACACGACAACATTTACTGGCCAATGTGAATGCTTATATGGGTGATCACATTATGTTACAATTTGCTAAAATTCAAAGGGGGGAACCAACAGCTCCAAACTACACCCAATAACACAAACAACTTGGGCATTGATGTCACAATGTGAATGTTTACATCATACTCCATCACAGTATTGAGTGAAGTTTGGGGTTTCTGACATTAATGTGAACATTCACATGATGTGAATGTTCACATCAGTGTGTAATACTCTAAATTTACCTAGTACTCAATAGTAATGTGAATGTTCACATCATTCATGTGTGCAAAAACAAATCCCGAAAACTACAACAGTTAGAGGCCAATGTGAATGTTTACATATATTTTTACTAAATTAATTCCGAAAACATCTATGTTTACAAATTCAAATCCGAAAACCAGAAGGTGTATGTATACATCAATGATGACATTATGATTTGAGAAGCAGAAGGTGGAATGGTATTCCTTACTTTTGTTCGTCATGGTTGGTGGGTATGGATCACAGTCAGTGGATAAAATAAACTCAATGGGGCGACAAGAATCTTCGAACGATGAAGCACCCTCCTTCCGATGTGAAGCTTCGCAGTGGTGAGAC